CCCCCCCCCCTTTCCTAAAGTTTCAGATGAATGGTAGAAACTTAAATAAAACAATAAGTAATGTAAAAACGCTATAAAATAATATCGGGGGGTTAACAATAAGTGGGGAAGAGAAACTAAAGCGTTTGGCGACCTTATCGCTGCTTCTTTGCTGTGGTTAACGGTTGAGAGGCTGAAGGGGGGATGAATAATACCCAAGTAATACTTTTTTTTTTACTGGGGTGTTTTTACATACGTAGTTTTGTGGTTTATATAAGTGCCCCCGGATAAATCAATAAAACTTAAAATAAATGTATAAAATTCATTTCACTAAGCGGTGGAAATGTTTAGCATTTCCCACAAGTAGAGAAAAGCAGCCAACACCGCCTGTCTGCGTTAACGCTTCACGGCGAACGTTCGCGTCCGTAAACACCTCACACTACCAGTACAGACAACAAAATCCCGGAGGAGCTCACTCAGTCTGGTCATATGCTAATGTGCGTTAATGTTATAGCTCTTTGAAGTGAACAAAGAAGTCTTTTTCAGCCCACACAAGCCCCCGGCACTTACTAATAACAGTGCAAGTTCGCTCGGGCCGAAAAATCCAGGACCCCGCTTTTCCCGGCTGTGGCACTCGCAGCACAACTTCAACGATGCGCTAAAAACTTGGGTTATTACTCCGCTAACAACGTGAGAAACCGCTTCTGTTTGAAATGCATTTGCTTGTTATGAATGTATATTAGCACGCATTTACCTGAATTTAACAATGTGACATCCAACACGGAGAAATTAGCGGCTGGAGTACAAAAAGAGGAGGAAAAAAAACAAAGTTAGGGATAGGATCCTTTCCCCGTGGTCCGGACTGTGGCTTGATGAAGATGAGGAAAGAGAATATGAAGCGCTCCTCTGTCGCCTCGACTCGCTGTCGTTTTTGTCACGAAGCTGAACACACGTGTGTCCCACGAACCATAACTCTTGTGTTACTCGGTTTCTTCAGTGTTAAAGAAACTGTAACCATTTCATTTTCCAAGTAGACATTTTAACACCCTCCACATTGTCGGTTCCAATGGAATATCACTCCGCAGCGCAGCCTACGGGAGGACACTGACGCTATAACATCAGCGGTGTCCGATTTCAGCTAAAAAGGACAAAAAATCGAGCCAAGGACGCTTCAGTAGCGTTGTTGTGTACTGATGCAGCGTTGGTCGTACACACCGCAAAATGTCACCTTTTCGTAGCTGCGAACGAAACAGAAAAGGATCTGAGGACCAATTTGGAGGGGGTCTATGTGTGCTGGCGGATGGGGACAGCGGAAAGCCTAACAGACTAGACGAGCAGAAGATGGAACGATAATATCGGAGGGAGGACCAATAGGATGCGAGGAAATTTTGATTGGCATGTGGGCCGTCCAAATATGTTTCGATATCGACTTCGGGGGCTGTCTCATTTTGCCTATGGGCTTTCCTGCATTTTAATTTTGTTCTCAAATAGCGCCCGAGCTACGAAAAATGATCCCAAGTGTCAAACAGTTGAGGGAGTCCATCCTCACTAAAGGTAAACATGGGTGAGAATATAATAAAGTTTGTCTTAATTGGCCATGCTGTTTGAATTCGTGGCCTAAGACGCTAAACTGCGGGGTGACCTTGCCATTAATTAATTGCAGTTATCACATATATGTGTGAAAACATTAAATATAAAATAGCATTGTCAACGTCAGTTTGGGTAAAGGTGTTATAGCGCAGGAAGTGAGAAAAAGCACGTGCATATGTACAGTAATGTGCACAAGCTATTGTGTATACAGACTAACTTATGATACCTATGAGAATATTAAATTTTTTTAAGGTATGATAGTTTTACTTAATTTTCAGTGATATATAAAAAACAAACTAACTAAAATGTTCCTGCATGTCGAGTTCAGAAGTTGCAGGGGAAAAGGAATGTCATGGCTACTTCCTTTTGTCAAACATAAATTACAAGTTGATAGCATGGGCCAGTGTCTAACTCACTAAAATAGCCTGGCTGGTGTTTTTCATCAGTTGTGCCTTGGTGGGTATGTAAACACAACTTGTTTTGTGACTTTCTAGAGAAAACCTCAACCGGTTTGAGGGGGAAATTAAAAAAAACCCCAAGTAACATCTGTGCTGGCCTTTACGAGAAAACTCATCCATCCACTTTGTGGTCTCTCTCTCTCTCACACACACACACACACTCACACCATGCCCTGCACGCATGCAACTCAAGCACACACCTGTATGTGATTATCCATGGGACTGGTTATGTTGCTGTCTTTTAAATACACAGTCAAGGCAACATGAGGTTTTCAGTAGACCTAATATTTCTTTTCAGTGTTGCAAAAACCCCCCAAAAATTACAACCAAATTGTTTACTTGCCCAAAGGAAATGACCATCCACGCTCAGAACTGCTTTGTTAAAGACACATGCACTTAGATGGGTAAATGCAGAAAGGGCATAAACCCAGTTCTAGCTTTTTTTGCAGCGTGAGCGCCAAGTCAGTGTGAGCACATCAACCTCATTGTGACAAAACCAGTTTCATGTCACAGATTCAGTGCAAAGCTCCTATAATACACCTGGGGAAAGTTGGTGCACGTATTCGCATGGAAGTGATCGTATCGCTGCTCTGTGCCAAACATCAAACGTTCTTTGGTCTGTTGCCTTTTTAGAAGTAGGACAAAGGGAATTGAGGAAATGCGACGTTAAAGTTGTACGGTATGGTGCAAGAAAGAAAGAAAGGGCTATATTTAGAGTGGAACTCCATTTTCCTAACCCCAAAGCGTATACCCTCCTCACCACCTACTCTTTCCTGGGCCCTTTCTTCTTCTTCTAGTCACAGGCTCTAAGGCTTTGTAAATGGGTTACCCCCATGTAGCCACCCACGCATCAGGTACAGTATCAAAACCTGGGGCATCCTGTTATGACTTCTGGTTTCCTGTTTCCTGTAAAAAATACAGCCCCCCCTCTCCTAACACACACACAAACACAGTCTTTCATGCAGCAAACAGAGCAAAACTCTGATCAGCTGCTAACACACCATTTCAAATAGATTAGCTTGAGCTCTTGTACTTGTAATCCTGTTTCAAGAATTTGAAGAATTTAGTAAGACACACACACACAACCCCCCCCCCCCAAAAAAAAGAAAAACGAACATCACACTGCTGATTAGATTCACTGACAGAAGATTCATCCAGATTTTTAGTGGGATTTTTTTGTGTGACACAGCATCATAGCTGTAGCCGACTGAAATATATAAAGTGGTAGCATTTTGATGCTCATTACACCTTTTGAGCAGCTGTCTTACACTATTATTCTCTTCTAATTTGTTTTTATTTCACGTATACGTCCTCTCATTTCACATGCCACAGAGAGGAAGACGTACAAGTGTCAGGGGACCACTGAAACAGCAATAACAGCAGTGTGTGTGTGTGTGTGTGTGTGTGTGTGTGCTCGTATGTGAACTGCAGGTCCCCATTTGCCAAAATAACACTGTTTGTGACACACACCATGCTGGCAGTGCACATCCCCCACCAAGATACCTGAGCATCTCTCAACAGGGGTCAGCCCCATCACTCTTAATGAGCAGAAATCATTCTACCTTCCTGCGGTGGCTCAAGCCTGCCATGCTGACTGCTCACCGACGGCGTGAATGGTTAATTGTCGTTGGCACACGCTCCCCTCCCCATTTTTCTGAGATGTTTGCTCGTGCTGAAACTGATTTTTAGCGCCAGCGTTTCTAGTGAGAGGTATCTTTCACGTTTTCAACAGCGACGGCCTTTTAAGTATCTGACGCAAGCTAAAAAAAACTGCAATGTTTGGTAAAAGCCTTCATGCTGCACTCGTTTCCTTATTTTTGTAAGAAAGAGAGAGGAGCACAATGTCATCCTGTTCTTTTTCCTAATTTTTAGCTCATCATCCCCTCCCCCTTTCTTGCAGATTGGAATTCATTAGCAATCAAAGAGCCACTGACAAACGCCCAATCTTAATTACCCTCTCATTTGCATATTTGCATATTAATGACTGCAGACTTTGCTGTTTTTATGCTGCATTAGTCCCCCTCCCGTCAACACTTAGCCACCCCGCATACTGCAACACTGTATCGTTCTCACACTTCAGTGTCTTACATTTTAATCCTGCAAGTTGACACCCATTTAAAAGAAGGCGCTTAATCAACACTAGATAGTTTTTCATTGTCCGTGCAAAATAAGAGGGAAGGAAGGGGGGATTTTTTTTTTTCTTCACCTGGTAGTGGTTCAGGTCAATATCAAGCTTAAGCTTTATTCAATTATGCAAACGTTAACTTGGTAGCAGAAGTGCCCTCACAATGCATCTCTCAGCCCAGATATATTTAGATATGAAGACTACTATATCTTATACTTTATTTTTTAGTATTTGTTCAGGAGGTCCTCAGTACTATGCACCCAATATGCTTCCCCCTTCTGGTAAAACAAGTGTAAGACAGATGCGATATTTCAGTAAATGAAGCCATCATGCTTGGAAGTCACAGTGCATACCATTTATTCATCTCCGAAGCATTGTGATTTATCAAGTTTCTGAAGAATTTACCCCAATCTATGTTTTTAAACTGGTGGTGACAGGACACAAAGTCAAAATGCCCTAACGCAGGATGCACATGGCCAATCCACATCCTGTTGTTTACATTAGAGGGTATACAAAAAAATGATAATTTGTTTAAGCTGACAATGCCCATTGAGCCATGATGGAGTTCATTCAAGGGATAAAAGCAGCCGTCTTAAAAGCAGAATCTGCCCAGGGCTGAATTTCTAGGATTTGCAAAGGAAGTCTTTTACTAAACATACGAAGCCTGCAGAAGGAAAATGCAGAGATGTTTAACTTTAAAAACAAAACAACACAAAACATAACCCTATAACAGAGAGGCAACAGAGAACAGACTATTTTTAACGTTTGTAAAAACACTTTTTTATTATTTTTGGCTTTGACATGAGGGTCATGCTGTAAAGCATGAAACATTGTGCTTCACCTCAAGACATCTCAAAATTTGTAGAAATCTGCCATGTTAAGAAAAGCAAGAAACTTCAGAAACATCTCAGATGCGCGCAACCTGTTCAGTAAAATAAGCTAATCCTTAAATTTCTCAGTGTATTTGCATAACAGACATATAAAGAAACTCATAAGTATATTTTTCTGTAGACACACAAAGCCTAGCCATGATTGTAATAACTGGGATTGACATACTTGTACTGTAATGCTGTTTTCAAACATGCACTGCAGCCCTTAATTGGACATTACCCAGCGGAGCCGCATGTAAGGGGGACCATACATAGCAACTGGGTGAGTATCCACACTGGATTCTTTCAACATTTTCCAGTGCATGTGTGAAAACAGCGTAAGCCTCAGAGCACTTCAGAAAATTTCAGACAAGAAAGCTGGAAAACTACATTGGATTTAGGGGGGCTGGGGATGAAATTACAAATATTGGTTATTTCTTTTGTTCTGTTTTATGAACCTTTCCAAGTAAGTCTTTTATAATTCTATACAGTATGTGTACGATCTGCTGTATGTCAGAAAGCTACTGGGGGCAAAAAAATAAATAAAAAATAATAATAGTGCAGCAGTGGCCCAGATATGTGGCTTAATGAGTCAAAATCCTGAACGGAATAAATCTCTAATACTCTATGCTGTCAACACTTCCAACAATCATTTGTGTGCATTGTTTAAGTATCTATCCTGGGATGTGAATTATGTGATAAAATATCAATAGAGCTGATTTGAAGATGAAGCTTTTACGGATCCACCTGAGGGAGGATGTGTCACACAAGGTGTGTACAGTATATCTGAATGTACAGTTTTAGGCAGCAGTGTCTTCATGTTTTTACATAATGTCTGAGTGACTATACATAGCTCAATCTGCAGTGCGTGTGGGAGTGCTGGGTTGGTTCAGTCCCATTGTTTTACAAAGCCACCCAGCGAAATCCACCTCCTCTGCTTCAGACCGCTTGATAAACGTGTGGTTCTGAAAAAGCACAAATATTAACAACACACTAACTCAGCTGACTAAATATATAGTTGCTATCAAGTTAAACAGCACTGCCGGTTTAGTTGAGAAGTTTTTTACTATAAAAATGACATAGTGATTTAGGCCTGTCACATATTTTACTTTGTGATAATCTGTTTTAAAAAAAATAGGGAACTTAAAGTCAAATGGACACTTACCATTAACATTTTTAAGTCAGCCCTGTCTGCTGGATTTTTGATGAGACTGGACACAAAGAAGATCAAGATCATCCATCAAGTTAGTAAACGTGTAATCCAATGTTATGTCACTATTACTTGTCATGCTACTTGATGCTTAACATGTGTAAGTGAGGAAAGGTGAGCAATATGTTGAGTTTTAAAATGTCCTACCACTTGGTCACAAAATCTTGAAAATCAGGGGTGAATACTCCATGGGGTAGTTTAGGCGGTGGCTTAAAGTTAAAAGAAAATGTTGTAGTATAAACAGCAGAAAGCGACTCCTTCGTGATTTTACGTGGTTGACAATAAATGCTGCTTTGGATAACTTCTTGTAATCTTACCTCATTGACAATGTAGTCTAGTAGTTCAAAGATAGCCATTACCGGACCGTGGCCTGGGGAAGTCAGTTTAACAAAACAAGTGAGAACTCAATCAGAAAAAAACCTTCAATTAAAAACATGGCAAACATTCCTTTGGGGCATCGAGCAATCACGGAGCAGACAGGTTCATAAATCAGAGTGTCTAATTCACTGATATCAGCAAGTTACATGATTTCATGTGGAAACTTGGAGCAGTCTGCATGCAAGGTTTGCCTACTGCACTTTCAGCCAGCCACCTGAAACACACACAGATGATTGTGTAGCTTACCACTAACAGGTCTACCCGGAGGTCTGGGTCTAGGGGATGTGCTGTGGGTCTGTCCCTGTGTATCATCCAAGATCGGTCGTCCAAATATGGCCTCCAGCTCCTTAGCATCTGGAGGGGGGATGGGAAAGCGTCCAACTGACAGCTCTACAAGGGACAAGCCCATACTCCACACATCAGACTGCACAGAGTAATGAGTCCCCTGCAATCTCTCAGGCTAGACATCAAACATAAACAACACACAAAACAATCATCAGTTCTTTATTATAGTAATATGGAACTGTTGAATACTGTTCAAACAGCTGAAGCATTAATCTCAAGTTAAATATGTATCAGTGGATAAATCTCTTCATCAAAATTAGCAGAAAAGAATCCTGTTATTTAAGTTACTGACCTAAAATGAGTTAAAAAGATTCTCACATTACATGAACATTGATGCAAAACAAACTTGTACACAGGTTTCATAAACAGACCCAAACATACCGACATGTAGGATCTTGTCCCAACAAAGGAATTGGCCATTGAGTCAATGAGCTGCCCGCTCACACCAAAGTCACACAGCTTGATCTCCCCGCGTGAGTTTACCAGGATGTTTGAGGGTTTCACATCTGAGAATAAAAAGGACATTTTATTACTTATAAAATTACATGAAAATGTTATCCAACTGAATCTCTATACTATGGATGTCAAACAGCCTGAGGCCCAGAATCAGCCCACCAAAGGATCCACTAAGATCCTCTGATTTAGAGCAGGGTGATATGACCGAAAATATTTATCATGATATACATTTGAAAATTTGCGATAACGATATAACTCACGATATATTTGACACTAGACAAAATACTTTACAACTCCACAACTTTATTAGTGCATAAAAACCCCATCAATGTATTTTCACTTAAACAAGCAGCTCTTTTTTTATGTGCATTAAAGTTATATAAAAATTTAACAGTGCAAATGCAAATTCCTTGCTGACAGTTTAACCAAAAGGCATTTCCAGTGGAAATTGGCGGACATATCCTCAGCATAACCATGTATAATATCCACAAAACTTAAAAAGAGGTTATACACACACACAATACGGTAATATTATGTTGAATCACAGTACGTATCACTCCGCGAGGCTCCTGCCTACGATAGCCGTAATGCTCCGACAATCCATCAAGCGGTGCGGCTTCGTAGCTTAGCAAAGTCGTACTAAAACATTTGACAGATTTTCAAGCGCCGTGTACGACATAAAATCGTTTTGAGGTCAGTAAACACAACCAGAATTCATACATAAGGCACACGGGATTATAATCTGTTGATTTTCAGAAAAATCAAAGGATTTATTTTAAGTGTGCCGTATTTTCCAAAAAACACGGTAATAACGATGGACCGCTAGCATGCTCTACCAAAAATAGTGTTTTGTTCTCTATCTGACGGACGAAACCTAAACCAGTTCCACCACTGAAGTTGCAGCATTTTTACAAACCAATTCTGGTTCATCCGTTTCATTCAACGATTGTCTTTCGCCTTTCTCATTCTCCGTCGCCACCATGTGCGTATGAAAACAAAGGCACTGCGCATGCGCGTTTTACCCATATTCTATCGCGATATTTTATTTTCTTATCGTTGCCCAACATTATACCGGTATTACCGTGAATGGTATGATATGGCCCAGCCCTTCTCTGGATGGCTTTGCAAAGTGTTGAAGTTGTAGTAAAATCATAAATATTCTCATTTTTTTTCAACAAGCCACACTGCTTTTCTGGGAAAAGTGATGAAAGTTTTAATACCCAAATGAATCTGTATGGAAAATATTACTAGCCCAACAACTTGTTTCAGTCAAAAAGAGTAAAACACTATAGTTTAGTTCCAAAAAATGTATATAGCAAGTTTAATTCAGTTTAATAATGAACGGGGTCTAGAAGGAGTTGGGAACAAACATACACGCACACAACGATCATTATCGTAAGATGTTATTATGCAGTTCTTTTACTGATCTGGCCCACTTGAGATCAAACTAGGCTGTAAATAGAAACTGCTCCACATCATACTTGCAGATGAAACTCACTTATTCAAGATACAATCGTAAACGTAATGAAAATGCTGATACCTCTATGCATGATTTGATGTTTTTCTCTTAGGTAGGCAAGGCCTCTCAAAACCTGTTTCAAAACGGAGAAAAATTAAGGAAGTCAATGACGCTAAACAGGCTTGATGCTACAGAAAACAATATGACAGAACTAAGAGTGACAAGTGTTTAGATGCACTTGTGCAAAGCAAGTATGGTTATTTTGATCCTAATCTCAATACAAATAATAACATAACTATGACAGAACGTGATTGTTTGGTTGTTTTTAAATGCCTCAATTAATTCAATTAAAACACTACATTGTTTCATTAATGTCTACCACTTACTACCACATTAGAACATGAAAGCAAAAAATAATATACTTACAGCAATGCTGACTTTGCCCAGAATCTCTTCAGGAATCCGCTTTGCTTCTTTCATCACCTGGTCCAGAGAGCCACCATCCTACACCAGAGAGATTACAGCAACTTGTGATACGAGTGCTAAAATAACAGAAGGCAGCCTGAAGACTGAGTAATCAGAAAGTAAATGAAAATGCCAACAGATTGATTCTTAAAAACAGTTACGCAAAAGTAATAACAGACCTGCGTCTGTAAGGGGCTGATGATGAAAATGAGGTGGAATTCAATTGAAGATTGAACTGAGATGTACATTGAGAGTGGCAAGAATTGGCATGATTAGGAACAAGTATATCAGATGGAGAGTGTATATCTTGGGACAAGGAAGAAGGCACTGTCAGGTGCAAAGAAGAACTCAAGGCGACTAATGTAGCCAGTGACTTGCTAGATTATTCTATCCTTTTTGTGTATACTGTAAAGAATTAACACAGTTTGTGTACCTCATTAACCCACTTCCAACAAATTACTGCTGCATATGCATACACGCATATACACACACACACCCACCCACCAGATTAATTCAATTACAAAGACATTGGGCAAAATGGATAGGGATTTTAGACAACATCATTTGATTGTTTGGGTAAAAAACACTTTTTAATCCAGTTGTCCTCTCTATAAGTCTTCAGCAACAGATAAGAGAAAAGATGATATCTTTGTTGGGATCAAAACACTACTGGAATACAATTTTTTAACTCTTACCATGTGTTCCATGCAGATGCTGATTTCTCCATCGCTGTAAAAAGCTCCATAGAAACCCACAATGTAGGGAGAATTACACTCGTGTAGTACCTGAAGCTCTCTGATGATCTGGTTTCTTATTGCAGGTTTTATTTCTAAATGTATGAGCTAAACACAGAAGAAAGGTGTTATATATTAAATGGGTATCAAAGGGTGAACACTAAGACCAGAAAGATCAACTCAAGCATTTTATCACCAGATTAAGTATAAAAGACCCAGCAGCTTTTTGTTTTATAATTGCAAAAGCTCACTTTTCTGGCCATGATTATGCCTGAAGGTTTGTGGCACTCCTTGTTGACCACTCCTCCGTTGCCTGCACCCAGCTCGCAGATACGATGGAAGTCATCATCTTTCAGCTCGCCAACCTTGGCCTTCTGGGTAAGGAAAGCTTCTAATCTTTTCTTTTGTTGTTCATCCAGGTCCAGCTCCGCCAGTATTTTCTTCAGTGCTTCTAAATTGGCCCTGATATAATTAAGACATAGTTTAGAATAACATATTTTCAAACAACTGCAAAATTTTAACTCAGCAGATCAACTTACTCAGATGTAATCTCTGTATTCGTGGAGGTGGATAATCCATCACTAGCAGGAGCAATGTTTAAGGGCACTGGTCTCTTTTTAGGAGCCATGTTTACTTGAGGGTAAAATATGAACTTGGACTGAGCGACACTTTCCTCTTCAGCTACAGATGATAAGATCCTGTAATCTATATGATTTAGAAATTGCTGACAAGGGGCTTGTGATTAGCACGTGCAAATTTGGGAGGTTAGATAATAGGCAAACACTGTCTTGTAGACTAGATGTTATCTGTAATAACTTGACGTTTTCTGTTTAGCTGTTACCAGGTAGGACAGTTAACCTGGCTAAACTTACTTAAATTGTGTCTTCAAATCAACGCCGGCTTAACCTGTGACTCAGCTTAAATCTAATTTACTACAAGAAGAGCGACACATCAAATTATGAATACAAATACGGCAATATAACACCAGTCTTAGCTAGCTATGTTAGTGTTAGATGAGTAGACGTAGCACGACAACTAGCATAATGGTCACCGCACTTGCACCAAAATGTAAATGTCCAATTAATCGAGGATTAACTAGCTACAACGTAAAGGGAAAAAAAAAAGATTTTCAAAGCTAAAGCCATAACTATCAGCACCTACACGTTAGCTAGCTATCTAACTTCATCTGCTAGCTGTTGCGTGACAGCCGCACATTTCACGCGAGTCGAAAGCAAGCGGATGTTTGTTCACTTTTCTTCCGGTGACTTCCCCCTTTGTTTAAGTTAGAAACATTAGCTTAACTGGCTGTTTTATCCCAATATCTTCTTTCAGCGGGGTAGGTGTGTTATTGCTGAAGACACCGGGATCTAGTGTCCTCAGCAGGGATGATCACGGGGGCGCGGTGCAGTCGAGACTGAGCCTTAAGTAGTCCAGAGTAGCAATCTCGCGATATTTTAGACAGCTGCGCGAGCAGCTTCCAACCCCCCTTCCAACCAATGTTTCCAACAGATACCAAAGCATACGTAAACAGATGGCCGAATGAATTGAAACTCTTTAGTAAAAAAGGAAAAATTAAAAAATTAAACAAACCCCGTAAATTAGTCTCGTTATTTGATCATTTAAATTTAATTAGATTTTTAAAAAACGTATTTTATTTTATCGCTCAACTTGTGTATTTACATTACATTTTTTAAAACGTGCAACCTTTTGTACAAAGGACTTTAGCGAATACATGCTGTGAGGGCCTTTTGTTTTGTAAAATGGGAAATAACAAAGTTGTAAAAAATATTGTAAAATAATAAAAAACAAAAGATTTAAAGTTCTTTCTATTTGTTAACCTGCCTTCAAAGACATATGGATCTATCTTTGAAGGCACTAATAACACTTATTTCTTTAGAACATTATCCGGAATGCAGGCTTTTCAAATATTTATTTATATAAATAAATAATCGTGAAGCTGATGGTACTGCTTGAAAGTCTTCTATAGCCTTGCCAAGCTGCCTGTTTTGATTGGCTAACAATTCATCCATTCAACCATCACCTGAAGCACAAAACGGAGGCCTGAGACTTTCTATTGTGACTGCGCTTCTTTCTCGGATTACCAATGTACATTACCGTGCGAAGGTCTCAAGACAGCCTTCATTTCTTTATTTCATCCTTCCACACTGCCAGCCTTTCTTGTATTTATTTATTTATTTTTATTATTTTTTCAAGTTATCATGGTCAATAATTCTCCAGACTTTCGAAAGACCCTCTTTTTTTCTTTGGACATTGGTTGATTTTTACTCAGGTTTGGCCAAGTCGTTGTACCTGACCATTTTCAGAAGACTATGTATCTGCTTATTGGTATTAAGCCATTAAACACTGACCTATGAATTATGGAAGCAAAAAAAGCACTTTGAAACCAGTGTAGTGTCTACACATTGTAAGAGTTATTAGCTCAAACACAGCATGTCAGCATGGTGTGCAGTGTGTTCTTCAGAGAAAAAAAATTGAAGAAACAAATGAACACAATCTGAAAATCATGTCTTTAGTGGAACACTGGAAGTGATGGATTTGCCTCATCTGGACCACAACACTGGGAACAGAACAAAATACAGCCAACAAAAAAAAAGAAGAGCTTGAATCTTGTTCAAGAACCCTGGAGAACTATTCCTAAGAAAGCTTAAAAGAGTTCAGGACATACTGAAAAATAAGGGCGGTACCACTTTCAGGCTCTTTACAATTGTGCAAACTATTTTTGTATTCCGAATGTATTTTTACACATGTTTCAATAAATCTGATTTTCCTAGCACAATATAATGAAATGAGGGGTGTTTTTCTAAATCAGCAAAAACTGGACAGACAAGAAGACTTATCAAATTAGGCAAATCTATTTCAAAACCATCTACACAATTTATTTTTTGTCTACCTCATTGTGAGATGCAGTTTATTTTAATAAATGTTGTAAATACAAGAGTGCATAAAAATACATTCTGAAAAACAAACAGATGAACAATCATGTAGGCCAAAAACAAAAGCACCATCTAAGACTCTGGATGGAGAAAGTGTAAACCCAGGAATTTAAGTATATCACTAATTCTGCATGACAAGAACAAAGAAGCTCAGTTAACTTTCTTCAGATTAACCTCTCACAGTCCTACAGACACATCTTAAAGCTAACAATACTGTTCATCTTCAAATGCATGTGGTCCTTCCACACTTGCTGTGTGATTTCCTTTCAGCAGATGGCACTCTAGTTCACTTCTTTGAAGCCTTCAGTTGCATCAGGTCGGGTTGAAAGAGTTTCCTTTGAACAGCAGGAGAAGCTTAAAGATGTAAAGAGAAATGAAGGCAGAATGAACAGATAAATAAGAATGGCTAAAATACACTAAAAAAAAGCTGTGATTCAGTTGGCTCTGAAGAATTTTTGCTCCTTTTAATTAAAATGTTTCTGATGCGAGCCAGTGTATTTATATATACTGCATAATACAAATACATTAGTAACAGACTTATTACCAAAAGCCGGATCCTTTAATTTCAGGTCATGGTTATACTGTACTCTCATCCACAAACATTACGCCATTTAAAAAAAAAGGGAAATCTGAACTCGGTACGTCCATCAACAACATACCGTCTGATGTGTTTGGTCTGGATGAGAAGGTCGGGGAGTTTGCTGTTTCTGGTGTCTGGCAACAACATGCTAACGGCAGCAGCCATAATACTGGCTGTGCCAAAAATGATGTAGGGAAGGATCTTGCTGTATAGACCTGCAAGAAAAATAAAAGGCATTTAAAATGGAACGATGAGAGATCTTTTCACTGTTAAAAGGATTTCCACATCATGAAGATGTGCACAATACACAAGCATTAAGAATTATATTACAACATTTATAAATACATTTAAAACCAGACCAATAAAGCAATATACTGGCAACAAAAAAACTAAGCGGAAAAAGGGAAAAATGGTGTTAGCACATTCTCTTGTACACAATAATGGAAGGAGGTCAGGTTACCAAGATGTATTTCTGAATTAAAAAGATATACAGAGTCCAGAGAAGATGAGAAAACCATTGGGGAAATGAATATACAAAAATGTAACCAACTAACAATAATTTCAAGAGAGTTGGAAAACAGACTTCCTTAATCAAACCACTTAAATCACACATGACAACTCTAGGTCACAGTAGAAATGAGGATGAGGCCTCTGATAATAACTGCATGCATAGTGTTATTTATTAAACCATCAATCCTAAAGTGGACTTTGTCATTTGAAAGTGGTCTCTGTTGATTTTACACATTAAGGTCAATTCTGTTGTCACGGCTTCCTTCACTCAGGCTCATGAACTGCAAACCTATTACAGAAATCATGATCAAACCAGGATGCAATGTTAGGCTGTCCAATCAAAGTCCATCCATCCAGTTTCTTCTGTTTATCTGTTTTAGGGTTGCTGGGAGACTTAATTATCATAGGGTGAGACAGACAACCATAGATGCTTCACATCTACAGTTAACCTAACCCCACACATGTCTATAGACTGTACAAAGGAGCCAGACTACCCACACACGAGGAAAATGAAAATGAACCGACTCCACACAGAAATGCCCTAACATGGATATAACTCTTCTCGCTGTGAGCCAGCAATGCTAACCACTGCCCCTGTTATCAAAGTGAAACACTAACTGAAATACTAAAATGCCAGATTAGCCCCGAACATGGATATTGTTGCTTCAGCTTTGATGCCCATGCACCTCCCCTAAGCTCTCTGACCGAAAAACAAAAAGAAAGCACACTTACCCATGTAAAGTAAATAAGGACATATGATAGCTCCTATTCGTCCAGCTGTGGCGCAGATCCCCAAGCCCATGTTCCTGACCACAGTGGGCATCAGCTCAGTGAAAAACACGTAGATAAAGCAGTAAGCAGCAGATACACCAATCTTTCCCACCAAAGCCAACACCTGGACCATGATGGGCATGTCTGGAAAGAAAAAGGCAGTGATTAGAAAAAGTTTAAACAATGTGCTAATCTACTGAGTGTTCTAGCTAATTCCTGGCACTGCTGATATTGTACACATACCTTCAGGAACCAGCTTTATAACCAGAAGCATGATACCGCAGAACATCAGCGTGGTGAAGAGTAAAGTGGGCCGTGGAGCCCTATCAATCAGAAGCCAGGTGGCTACATACACAACAATGTCAATGGCTGCAGAAATGAAGCAGTTGAGGTAGATGTTTCCATGCAGGTTGCTGCTATTGAGAGAGAGCCCATAGTAGACCATGGCCACAGAGATCCTGCAAAAAAAGCATAATCAAGACTCAGCAATACAAGTTTGTTTTACATTAGACAGCATAATTATTGCTACTACAACATGCAACACAATATCTGGCATTACTATATGTTTCTGGAAAGCCCATTACCATATGAAAACACCTAAAATTGTTATGTTCCTTATGTTATGGGTGCGCATCAAGTCCATGTAAGTGTATGTCTGCTCTTCTTCATCTTTATTCTGCTGAATTAGACACAGAAAGAAACAGAACATTATAGAGCAAAGTCGTCTGTCCACATTGAATATATAATAATTTCAGATTGCATGGTGGAAAAGTATTGTGTGATTTCTACAATTTAAGTTATATTTTATACTGGAGCACAATGGCTTTCATAGCTTAAGGAAATAAAAAAAAAATGGTACCATGAGCTCTAAGCAATCCCCAGCTCTGAATATGACCTCAGGGGCGGGGACTCTGTTCCACTGGGCAGCCTTACGTATGACAAGCTCAGCCTCCTCCACTCGACCTTTCTGCAAAAGCCAACGAGGCGACTCAGGAATCAAGCTGCACACACAAGAGCAGTGAAAAGCGTATAGCAAAACATGCACCTCAAAACGAGATTTTTCCAGATTCAGTGAAAACACGCGTTATCTATCACAACTGTCACCCAAATGTTATCCAGGCTGACTGACAACAGTGTTATCTTGTCTGAACTGATCGTGAGTGAACTTTGCTTTTGAGAAATTAGTTTCATGCGCTCGTAAAAAGGATAGTGAGGCTGGACTTTGTTTTATGTGTGTGCCATTCTGGTTTCTAAAAGAAAACAAAGACTTATTGCATCCCTCAGCAAAACCCTCAGTGGATTTGACAGCATAACAGTTTTCAGTAACGCCAGTTCAGTAATGTACGGATTTGATGTACTGTGTGATACCAGATGCAACTAAATCTACATGTCAGAATATATATGAGGAACAATTCTGAGGTTCATTAATTAAGTTCATTAATCTGTTTTATTTCATTATTCCTGTTTATTTAGATCCTGTAGTGGGTTGGGTCCATTGTTGTTTTCTCTCTCTGTGTGGTGGACACTCCTCCAGTATATATACAATCGTGTCAAAAAGATATTTTTCACTTGTTTTCACTCTAAGCATTCCTTTGGAAAACTAAG